CAATAAATTTTCGAAGCAATTGCCGTACAACTGGACACTTGGAGAGGGAGAATTGTAGACCCGTAACCGTAGAAGAAAAACCATTGCCGTCTTGCTTCTATTTTCCCCAAAAACACTCGGGCCGTCTCTTGTCGCCAAGTTTTAATTTGTTTTAAAAACTTTTTGATTGTTTCTGCTGCTGATGGTGGCGATGCTGCTGTGTTGCATCTTCTTTATTCTAATTTTGGGTGTTGATGGTAGAGGTGGTGGTGGTGGTGGCATGCAAATGTTGCACATAGAGAAATTAAGAGAAATTAATAGGGGTTTTTAAGAGGTATTATGAAGAGGTATTTTAGTACTATTTTATATACCTTGATTTCTAAAAATCAAATATTTCTTAAAAGAGAGCAATTTTCTTACACTTCTTTTAATACTTCTTAAAATTTCCTAAAAACAGGCATTTATCCTTACAATTCCTTAAATATTAAACTGATTTCCTCAAATGGGCATTTATCCTTATAAACCCTGAAATATTAAACTGATTTCCTCAAAATGGGCATTTATCCTTATAAAACCTGAAATATTAAACTGATTTCCTCAAAAAGGGCATTTATCCCTATAAACCCTGAAATATTAAACTGTTATTATTATTTAAAATGCAAATATTTTGCGGTGTGGCACTTCAGCTGCTCTGGGCATTCATTTGCTGCCTTTGGATGTTGCACACTTTCTTGTGCTGTTTGTTGTTGCAGTTGTTGCACTTTCAGTTGCTTGATTAAATTGTTCTTCCTTCTTGCCTCCACCTCCACCGCCTTGCTATTTAAAGTTTTTAATTTCATTTTATTGACACTGGCTAAGAGGAGCAAACAGCTTAAAGCTTTTTATTGTCATTTTTCCCCATTTCCATGGATGTTGTTGCCATGCCTTGTCTTGCCTCTTACTGCTGACGACGACAGTTCTTCCACTCTCTCTCTCTCTCTGTCTTCCCCTCTGTATCTCTGTGACCCGTAGAAAGGCAACAATTTTGCGGCCAGGACACGGCCACAGGGCACCACTTGTATGATATGTATGTTCAAGGAGCAGTAGCCATAGCCATAGCCATGGCCGAAGCAGGTCAGAAATTCTCTGACAGAAACAGCAAAGCTGTCATTACAATTTCCACACGCATAGCACGCAAGACACAGGACAAGCCTTTGTTGCAGCCACATTTTGTGGCACTTACCTGTTCACTGCCCCGGTTGGCAGTACTTTTCTCTCGGTGTATGCACATATGTGTGTGGTTTTTGGAGGTCTATGAAAAGCGGCACTTGGTTGAGATGCTTTTGACCTTTTTATGTTTTTTTTTTTGGTTGGTATTTTTGGTATATTTTGTACAAGAAAATGCACTGTAAAGAAATGTGTATAAGAAACAGGCAACAAATCCTTATATATGGCCTTATTTTTGACCTTTTCTGTTTTTTATTGCTTTTTCAGTGAGAAATTTATTGAAAAAGCATGCTTTTTTGGTATTTTTTATATTTTTGAATATTTTTGGTATGTTTTTAGTATATATTTGGCATTTTTTCTGTTCATATTATAGAGATATACATGTATATATATATATAAAAAAAAAGCATCAAGTTTTTTCTGCTTTTTGGTTGCTTTTTTGGTCAGCAAATCATGGAAAAAGCATGCTTTTTTTTGTATTTTTATTAGGAAAATGCACTTTAATTAGTTATGTATAGAAAATAAGCCACTAGTTCTTGTTTCTAATCCTGTTTTGTTATTTTTTTTCAATTTTCTAGCTAGAAAGGCATTGAAAAAGCATGCTTTTTAATATATATTTAGTATATCTTTGGTATAATTTTGGTATTTTTATCAACAAAAGGCACTGTAATTACATATGTTTAGGAAACAAACCTCAACTTTGAATTTCTAGTTAGAAAAAGCATGCTTTTTGATATAAATTTTATATATTTGTATATATTTAGTATATATTTAGTATATATTTAGTATATATTTAGTATATATTTAGTATATATTTGGTATATACCTATAGGACAAGCAACAAGTTCTGAAATTTCTTGTTTCTTGTATATTTTTGTTACCATTTCTGCATTTGTTGTTGCTTTTCCAGTCAGCATTTCCAAAGCATTGAAAAAGCATGCTTTTTCGCAATGGCACGAGCAAAAAGCAAAAAGCAAAAAGCAAAAAAGCAAAGCAAAGACAGACCATGCCCCGGCATTCTAATTTATTTATGTTAATGCAATAAAAACACTCAATTCGCTGCACACTCGAAATGTTTTCCATGTTGCTTGTGCCCCATGCTGCACTTAGTTGGCAAGCGTTATCGCAGTACCAGCACCAGCACCACCACCAGCAGCAGCAGCAACGTTCCGAGCTAACCTTGTTATTGTTATTTAATTTCCCTTTTTTTTTTATAGACATATGTATATAGAAGTATATATATATATATATTCTACTGGTCATATTCCACGTTTTTTTCTGAGGTGTCTCCTTTTTTGTTGCAAGCTGTTGTTGTTGTTGCCATTTTATGTTGGCCGCATGATTTATGGCGTTGGCGGCAGTTTTTCTGCTTCTGCTTGCCAATTCTGTTTATTTTTCCTTTTTTTTTATTTTTGTATATTTCAAGTACGATGGGGCTTGTAAGAAAGATTTTTAAGTAAATTTTAGAAAAAATACTAAATATTTGTGAGTGTTTTATTTTTTTTGGTATTTTTTTAAATGGAAATCTTGATTATAATACATGGAATTAAAAAAAATGTATGTAATTAAAAAGAAGTATGTTTTTTAAAGTTAAATATTTTAAATAAAATTTTATAAAACTACTAGCATAGAATCTAGTATATCTAGAATTTAGTATAATAAATATTATACAATCTAGTTTATTAAGAACCGAGTATACTTGGCTAAGAATCAAGTATATATCTAGTATCATCTAGTATATATGTATATATGTACAGAAGCTAGTTTATATATGTAGAATTTAGTATATTATTCAAAAAATCTACTAAATACAGAATCTAGTATAAAAGCAACTGGTAGCTAAGATAGAATATAGTATAGATAGAATAGATAGATATAGTAAGGTTGATAGATATACATAATAGAATAGATAGAATATAGTAGATTATTGTGGTAGATGGAATATAGTATATTATGCATAAAATTTAGTATATAAAGAGAGGTAAATATATAGAGGTAAAAGTTTAAAGGAAAAAGGAATCTAGTATATTATTAATCTAGTGTATATTAGTATATCTAGTAGTTGTAATACTGCATTATCTAGTAGTAGTAGTATCTACTAGTGTGTAGTATATAAATAGAGGTGAAGGTATATTATAGAATATTATAATCTAGTATCTACAGAATGTAGTGTATAAAGATTCTAGTACATAACTTACAAAGTATATTGGTATATTATTAAAAATATATAATATTAGTTACTCATAGTTACAATCTAGTATTTAGTATTCAAGTATTATTAGTATATCTAGTATCTATTAGTTTAGTACTATTTAGTATATCTAGTATTTTTTTTTTTTAAATATATACTTATTTTGAAACCCCACCCACTGTTCCTATACAGTTGTGATATTATGACTGTTGTAATGTCTTGTTCATAGACTGCATGCCCACTCTGGGAGTTCATATTTAGCCTGTTTACTGTAGACTACAGCCTGTAGCCTGTCTACCGCCCCCGCAGCCACGCCTCTTTTTCGAGTGCGTCATTTGCATTTGTCATAAAAAAAAAAGGAAAGAAGGAAAAAAATTGTAAAAAAAATGGAAGAAATATAAAAGAAAAAGACAGAAGAGGAAAAAAAAGGTCGCGTGGCTTGTTAGACAAGGCTTTACTTTTGTCTGTCTGAGACCGGGCCGCCTTTGACCCCTGACCTGTCAGTCCCCCCCCTTTGTTGTTTCCCTTTTAGTAGTAGTAGTAGTCTTTATTATTTGCCAACTGTGAACTGAGAAGTTTATAAACAGGTCTCTGAGCCTTTGGCACGCCTCTTTATCCTTCTAGGACTCTTTCCCCCAGTGTGGTGGCCATTTAATAAAGTCATTCTATTTGCATTTGAGCCTTTGTCTTGTTATTTATTTGCATTTTGCCAGCCAGCCAGCCAACCAGCCAGTCTCCTCTCAGTCTTCTGGCTGCAGATTGTTGCTGCCACAGCAAGATGGCGAAATAACACAAGACACAAGGCTTGGCAGGGACTATTTTAAATGCCATTTTAATTATATTTTGGGGAAAAACCCAAAGCCCCAAGCCAACAAAACCCCAAAAGCCAGCTGAGTTGTTGGTGGTTGGTTTTTGGGGGCAAGTTTTTCAATTAAAATTAAATAAAACGACATAAATCATGATGCACTGTTGTCACAGCCCTCAAGACCACACTGCGTATGAGCAATATGGCTTACTACTAAGCTATATAGCTAGTTTTTAGGACCAAGTTGTAATGCACTTTGTGTCAACGAGGGTCATTAATCAAGGAGTAAAGGAATCTCTTTCAATTAAATCAGTTTGAAGGCCAACGAACTGGGCTTATCATTCCAAGGTCTATAATAGATAAGATTCCATTTAAAGGTTTCTGGCCACAGCACTTTTATCAACTTCAATTGCAATTGTTTTTAATAATTCACTTTCACTTTCATCTCTTTTTTTTTGTTTTATTTTTGTGTGGCAGCTATGTGGGGCAGTGGCAACAAAAGGCAGTGTGGCTTTTCACAGAAACCTTGAACCATATATATACTATAGAGCGAGTGGCAGCAGGCCTGGGCCCAGAGGTGGCTCTTGCTGTTGCCCTTTTGCCAGGCCTCTCATATGAAAGAGCTCTTTCCAGTAGAATCACTCGAGACAGAATTCAAAAAAAAATATACAAATAAAATTAATGAGTCTGGAGGTGGAGGGTAGACCTCAAAAGTCTCTCTATCCTTCTGAGCCTCTTCAGAAGCCCTTGCTTTGTTTCTTTGATTTTTGATTTTATTTTAATTTTTTCGGCATATTTTTTCTTTTCAGAAACATCGAGAGAGTGAGGTCTTAGAAGAAGACTAGTCTAGGAAGACTGTGCAAGACTGTGGAAGACTGTGGCAGCCATCAGGTGAGTGTCTCTTTTCTAACTCTTTTGAAAGAAATCCTTGCCAGGATAACCCTTGTTATCCTTGTTGGTTTATTTCTGTTTATTATCCACTTGGTTGAGTGCCTAATTGCTGTTTTGAAAAGCATCTTTCAGTTTCAGGCAGTTTCTACCTTTTGAATATAGGTTTTTTTCTGGTCTACATGCTGGCCTGTTCTTATAAGCCTATTTATTATATTTTAACTTGCTCAATGTACCGTTCATAGTCCCTAGTCCTTAGACCCTGCCACTCTGCCCCCTCTGAGTCCTGCTTTCAGCAGCCAACAGCTTAACCCCCTTTTGTGTCTCCTGCCATAGCCATAGCCATGAAATGGCCAACGGGCATAGCTGCCACAACAACAAACAAGGAGAATTCTCGCATTAAATGTTTTTTTTTTTTTTTTGCTGACTGAGCTTTTGCCTTTTTGGGATTCGAATCTTGGATAGCCGGAGGAGCTGGGAGGAAACGGTCTAAGATTTTTTATCTTGACCGAAAGAAGGAGTCTGGCTATAGAACTAGGTATATCAGAAACTGAAACTGAAACGAAACTAAGCCAACATGCATCATCTAATTTATGGCCTAAACAAAATGGCCCACAAAACACACACACAAAACACACAGGTGTGTGTGGGGCAGCACGCTCTGCTTTCATTTCATTAATTATGCGCCCAAAAATCAACAAACAGGTGCCAGGTGCCAAAAACATTTAGTTTTCGAGCCACAAAAAAAAAAAAAAACACCACATAGCTTAAAGCATTTTTTGCTTTTAAATATTTCTTCCTTTTCTTAACTATTTGGTGGCTTTTTTTGAGTTTTAATTTATTATTAACTTTATTTTTGTGGATTTAGTTGGTTTATTAATTTGTTATTTATTATTTAGTTGAACGGAAATTGCTTAAACAGCTGCAGGGTGTTGTAAAGTAAATATTTCAAACTAAAATAACACTGGGCAGTAGAGCTTAAAGACATAAATAATATGTGCTTTAAATATTTATTTAATTGAAAGATTTAACTTAAAAAATTAGACATGTTTTAAATATTAAACATATTTGAAATATTTATTTCAAGGAAAATACCATTTTTTTGTGGTATATTGACTGTTTATAGAGAACCCTCTTCGAATCAGGGTTCTCTAAAAGGAGTTTTTAGTTTTGAGAACATCCTTGTTTCCCTGGTATATTCTATAGTATTTTAAAAATAGTATTTTCTATATAGTATCGGTACTATAGTGGAACTAGAACTATACAGTGTATAGTATAGTATCATATAGAACTATATTTCTAATTAATATCTGATATTAATTCTATACAGTCTCCAGGCAGATCCCAAAACTCCTTTTTTTTCTCAGAAAATCCCTTTTTTGTGGGTTGTTCTGTTAATGGTATAGAGTATTATACAGTATAGGAACTACAATATAGAAGTAGTATATCAATATAGTTCTATATATACTACAATATATAGAAGTGGAAGTAAATATTATATTATTCGTCTAAAAATTCATACTACTCTATGTAGAATTCTTAAAAAGAACAACAAAAAACAAGACAAAAGCAAGGCAGTAATTCTATAAAACACCCTTATCCTTTTTAGGAGTTTTCAAGAACACCCTCTTATGGTGTTCTATAAAGTATATATTTTCAAACTTTATAATTGAAACTATAGAACTAGAACTCTAGTATATTTCTAAAAATTCCTTTTCTAATCTCCAAAATCTATAAAAACTCCCTTTCTATTTTCCAGAACACCCTTTTTTCTTGTGGGCTGTTCTGGTTTTTGTATTCTCCTTTTCTATTTTTTTTTTGTTGGCCATGTGTGTGTGTTTGTGCAACGACCACAAAATCTGTTTATGCGCCTTCAGCCAACTTTAGTTGTTCCTGCCACTACCCTTGCCCACTCTCCTCCCAACCACCCACTCCCCACCACCCTACCACCCACTCTCTTTTTTTTTGTCCATTTTCCAGTTGGTTTTCCAACTCTGGCCTGCATTTGACTTTTATATGTGAACTAATTCATGAAAAATGCATGCTGCCTGGCTGCCTTGTTGCTTGGTTGCTCTTGTATTTTTTTTTTATGCTTTTTGCTTGCTTTTTTGTTGCTTTTTTTTTGTTGTTGTTGTTGCTTAGAGGCAGCCTGCAGCCTAAATGAAGAAAAACCGGCCACCATAAATCGTTGTCGTCATCGCTGCGCTCTGCACTCGGTTTCCAAACTGCGAATGGGGAATGTGAATGGCTCTAGCTCCCAGTTCCTAGCTCTACATAGCTCCCAGCTCTAACTCTTGCTGCTTCATTCGTGTGGCAAATAATTAAATTAAGATTTTTATAGCTTAATTGGATGTTTGTCGTTCAACCGAGTGACGAATGGCTTCCCCCCCTTACTCGTAACAATCGTAACAATGTCACTTCCACAATAAAAAAAACTTGGATGGCATGAAGTGAAAGGCATTATAGTATTGAGGGGGTGGTTGGTTGGTACTGTTTTGGGGTCTTAGTCTTTGATCTCGATTGGATGGACATTGACGGAGTGACTGACTGGCTACTGAAACAGAAACTGAATCGCAATCAGAATAAGAGCCATGCCAAGAGCCAAGTTCTAGGAAATGTCAGCTCTAAAGGCAAACGCTGACCTTTTCGAGATCAACTCCAATCGACAAGTTCCTTGGCATTTTTCAAACAAAAGGAATTGGACTTTTAATTGTCATTTCTTGGGGGTTTTTTAGTTAGAGACCTAGTTAGAGACCTAGTTAGAGACCTAGTTAGAGGCCTAGTTTAAACTTGAACTTTTAATCGCGAGAAGCTGCATAGATGCCCCAAACTCAAGCTTAGGATGGAGCTCTGACTCAAGCTCTGGCTTTCATTAACATGCAGTTGACTTTCCAGTCCCCAGTCTCCAGTCTCCAGTCTCCTATCCCTGCCTCGGCCTGCCACCATCAAAAGCATAAATTCCATATGCAAATTGAGGCAGGCAGTCGCTGGCCAGCCATCCACCAGGTGGTTACCTGGGCTACCACTCTACCTGGGCTTTGTGCCATGGCTCCTTTGCCTTTTTCAAAAGCTGCAACAAAAGGGACCGACCACCAAACACACACCAACAACACCAACACCAACAACTTACAGGCCGAGAAATAAGGAAACGAAACGAAGCCCCAGCCTAGCCAGAAAACCAAACTGAACCGAAACTGAAAATGAAAATGAAACTGAAACTCAAACTGAACAAAACGCAATGCGCCGTCATCAAACAGAGCTGGCAAATAAAAGGAGATGCACTGAGAGAAAAATAGGGGACTAGATGCAAGGGTAAACTATAAGAGGTCTAGAAGAAAGGGTTATAAAAATCTTTAAGAAACTATTCAGAATCAACTATGTACATAGTAATAATATAGGAAAATAGGTTCTATAACTCTTTCAAGACTCTTTTTAAAGGAAAATTATATATCTTCTATAAGAAAATGGTTTAAAACCTCTATAAAGTATTCTTTAGAAACAAAAATAGAGAAGGGTTAGGTAAGGTTAGGATAGGGAAATAGGGAAAATAGAATAGGGTTTTTTAGGAAAAATGTTATAAATTTTGTAAAGAATTCTTTCTTCTTCCTACTTCTATAAGAAAGGGTTCTTGAAAGCTCTTTAAAGATTTGCTACAAAAAACTCTATTAGTTTTAGAAAAAAGTGTTCTCAGAGCTCTAGAACTTTTAAAAATAAACCTAGAAGAGTTCTATAAGAAAAGGGTTCTATAAATTCTTTCAAGAATTATTAACAAATAAGCTTTATAGAAACAATTTCTATAAAAAAAAAAAAGATTAGGACCCTTAAAGAACCTTTTAAAGAATTTTTCCAGAGAAAAACGATATAAATTCTATATCGTTAGGGTTCTAGAACTCTTTCGAAAATGGTTAAAAAGATGCTCTCGCAAGATATGCGAGATAGGATCCTCAAACTCTAGAAGCACTGTAGAAAAAGCTAATCTATACCAATTCTTTAAAAAAAAAATATATAGAAAAGTTAAGAAAAGACTATATCAGTTCTATAAGAAAGGGTTCTAAAAATAATTTCCAAAGTTCTTGAAAAAAAATACTTTAAAATCTATAAAAAAAAAAGGTAAAAACTTAGTTATAGAACTCTATAACTCTATAACGCTGAATTTTTATTAAAAACTATATGAGTTCTATAAGAAAGGGTTCTAAAACTCTATATAGAACTCTTATATCTATAATACCCCTAAAATCTCTATAGAATTTTATAAAAACTCTCTAATAGTTAGATTCTTATTTATTATTATTTTTTAACCAAAAACCCCAAACTTTTCTGAGTGTATTTTTTGCATAGGCAATACATACCACACCTTCCCACCTCCCCCACATTTAGCCACCCAGCCTCCAAACATTGTAGAAACCGTTACGCCTCCCGGCCCCCCCAAAAAAAAAAAAAAGAACACGCCCCTTTTGGGGGGCAAGCTTGGCGCGACTGGCTCTTGTTTGTCGCCCGGCATTGTTGCCGTTTCCATTCCCATTCCCCATTCCTACTCCCCATTTCTATTGCCTTGGCCATGGGTGTAACTGCTATTGGGTGCACGATGGACGCTGCAAGTGGCAGCCATTTGCTGCCGTTTTTGTGGCACTTCTCACTTTCCGTTGTTTGCCTTTCGCTGCCGCAGCCGTAACTGTTTGCACTAGTACGGTTACGGGCCGTAGTCGTTGCTGTCCGGCCGTAGATAAAGCTCTTCAGGCTTCCGGGTCTGCAAAAAACTAGGAATACCCGGAGAGCTGGAAGTAACTGAAAGCCCGGACTTCTACTCACGTAATTGTGTCACGTCGGCTTATTATATTGAAATGTCGGATAATGGTGTTCCGCTCATCTGGCCATTATTTGCTTACGTCTTTTGTAATTCCACAAAATCCAGCAATTCGACAACCTATTGAATTTCTAATGATGCCTTGCCTTCCGATTTTTTTCCTTCAAGCAGCTTGGATTTTCCAGTTTTTAGTTTATTT